CCACACCCTAATTCTATTCAATTTTGTTTTTGATTAAAATTTTACTTTTGAATTTCGATCAATTCGAACAAATTAAATAGAGTTAAAGCCATCTGATGAGATTCGTAGTGGAATCGAAACCGGTCATGGCTACTATACTCACCCTTACCCTCACCCTCCAGACGATCGTCGTGTGATGCTTTCAAACTCTTTTCTTCTATAGTATTATATTCTCTTAAGCAAAGACGAAACGATCGTCGTGTGATGCTTTCAAACTCTTAACTTCTATAATATTATATTCTCACCCTCACCCTCACCTCAAGAAACAAATAAAAAAGCACGTTTTTCATTTTAGTAGGAAGAAACGAGCAACGCATTCAACAAACTTTGAGAATAATGCAAAGGATATATTATTTTTAATGAAAATAGTATCGTTGTTCGTTTAATCATGACAAGATTTCGTTTAGCTACAATAAATGTTCATTCGTTTAATAATCCTTCCGACTATGAGAATAATATCGAAGAATTAATTTCAATTTTTAAACCGCTCGATCTCGATTTAATTGCTGTTCAAGAAATACAAAAGAATAATCATTGGTCAAACTTCTGTAAACATCTTTCTTTACCTTTTACTCATATTGGGTCAGGTGGCGGAAACTATTATGGCATTGGCATTGCGTCTCGCTATCCAATTATATCTCCTTACGATCAACAAACCAGTTTTGCAAGTGTAGGTGGAAACAGATTTTTTATTAAATGTTGTTTAGATGGTGATCACCCATTTGTTAAAGATCGAATATTTGCTGTAACACATTTAGATCATTTAAATGAAAACGATCGATTAAAACAAATTAAAGAGTTTAGTCCAGTTGGACATAATGTTAATATACTTATGGGTGATATGAATGCACTCACACGAGATGATTATTCAGATGATTATTATCAAAAAAACCTTGTTCAAGTACGTGAAAAATCTAATTGGGAAACACCTTGTTTTGATCTAAGTTGGTTACTAACAACTAGATGGGCTTTTCAAGATGCTTTTAAACAAATAAATCCACAATTGAAAGATGAATCAGTAGCGACATCTCGATATGGAACTCGAATTGATTATATATATTGGCGTCCTCGTGATAATGATGAATGGAAATTAAAGGATTGTTTCATTGTTGACACTAAGAAGGCTACAGATCATAATGCTGTTGTTGCTGAATTTGAACAAAAATCGTAAAAGAACAATTAATTATTCTTTTTTGTCATTCTCATCAGAAAATTTGATATTTTTTTGTGCGATCTACAGGTTATATTTGAACGATAGATTGATTTATTTGTGATTTTGAGCAATATTTACGATCTTGAAGGTTTTCGTTCGATACAATTCTCTCAAGAAATGTAAAATATAGATTTCATTCTTCTTTGATTGTTTGAATCAATAAATTTTTTAAATATTTTTATTTATTTAGATCAACTGCATTCGTTTCAATTAATGCAATTTGTTTCTTTTTGTTAGTAAAACATAATTGAATATAAAACAACTGTTATCTTATGGAGTTTATATAAATAGACTTCCGTATATTTCATCAATTAGCAATAAACAATGCTGCTCTTAGGGCTACTAAATTGAATATATAAAACAATTCCATAACAATATTCACTGAAACTATAGGTAATCGTGAAAACTAAACAGAGGCGATTCTATCTTATAATCAACCACTCACTGGTCTTCCTGAACTGATTGTTCTCACTGCAATGCATTGCTGACTCAAGTTTTTACTATTAAAGTTAGCTATGCTCACAAGTTTAGTAGTATCATATAATAACATAGATGAGATCAGTGATTTGGATGATTTAGTATCAACAAATCTTCATGATATTGATCTTTCGAACAACCAAATTGATTATGTATCACCACAAATTAATCGATTCGTTCCTGTGTCAAAAGTGATGGCCATTTTACTGAATCTTGAGGGTGGGGTAAGTATGAAAATATAAAATAAAGAGTTTATAAATAAGCAATCGTCTCACTTGTCCACTGTTATACATCTGATTTTAATCAAATGCAATCACATGAATATGTCCTAACAAGCACAAAAGACTCGTTAAGTAAAGATCACAAAATCAGAACGGGAATCGAACCCATATCTTCCGATAACCGGTCGGCTGTTCTACCGTTAAGCCACCCGTTCATCATCTCAGCTATGTAATAGCTGCACATCCGATATTCACTTTAGAGAATATAAATAAAGCGGAACATGGATATTTAAATCCGTGTCATACAGAGCGTGATATTCTGATTATTTTGTTTCTTTGTTGTCCTGTTTCTCTACGTCGTTCTCCTCATCCTGTTGCTTTTGCTTTCGTATCATTCCTTACTCTGATATATGACAATATCACATTTTCTCTAGCGGCTTTATATAAAAATGACTGAAATCAATCAAATCTATCATCACTTGAATCTGGTTAAAGATTCGAATGGAATAACTTCGACTAATTTCAGTCGGTTTTGATATCGCATTATTAAGGATAAATGAGATATAAATATTAGACATTTTAATTCGATATTCACAACAATATATGGATAGAGGAGAACGTATGTCTTTCTCTCACCGGTTTCGACCTTGCTCAAGGGTCTCATCAGATGACACACGCGGCATTCTTATGTATCGACCACATATATCTATTTTTCAAAGTTTTAACAGTAATTAACATGTGATATCTCGAAAAATTAGATATAATGTACAAAAATGAGCTGCCATGACCGGTTTGGGTGTGAGTGTGCGTGTGGATGTGGAGTGTGTGTGTGTGCCAGTGTGGGTGTGGGGTGTGGGTGCGAATGTGGGCGTGCCTGTTCTCTCGTCTGAACACCCACACCCACAACCACACCTACAGACCCACACCCTCTAGTGACATATATATCACGACCATTGAATGTTTTTCGTTCTTCGTATAGTATATATATAGGCTGTTTATAACTAGCAAACTATTGATTTTACTATACGATGACATCATTATACATTCTTTTCTTTTTACCTCCCATCTATACGAGATAGATCGAAAATAATCCTTTACTTAGTATCGAAATGCGCCCATACATGCAGCCATAGTTATTTTGAAATATAATATATATATACGTAAATGAACGACTTAATATTGAAATATAAAACTTTTTATTTTAATAGCAGCGAAAATATTTTTATAATTGATAATGCCAGCAATGACAGACTATCGAAAATGACAGAATTCACTTTTGCAAGTTGTTTTCGATCTATATTATATAGATAGAAGATAAAAAGAAAAGAATGTATGATGATGTCATCGTATAGTAAAAACAATAGTTCGCTAGTTATAAATAGCCTATATGTATACTATACGAAGAACGAAAAACATTCAATGGTCGTGGTATATATATCACTATGTAATAGTGCCAATGTAATTGCACAATGTCAGTTAATTCCATCATAAAGATAGGCTATACAGAATTTACTTTTTTTAGAAAAACTGCAAAAGTAAATCCTGTCATTTTCAATAGTCTTTCTTGGCTGATGTTCTCAGTTACAAAACATTTTCGCTGCTCTTAAAATAAAAAGTTTTATATTTCAAAGTAGAATGAAAATGAGATATATAAGGTTATGCATTGAGGAAAAACGACTTGTTATATAAAAGCAAGAACAATGAAGTATAAGTTATTCTTCGACTTAACACATATAACGTAAAAAGCAAGACTTTATCATTATGTTTTAAACTACTGCGAAGCGTCATTTAATACGTTGAGTGATAACTGTCTATTATTTCCCCATGCAATAAGCATCGCTGTAATCATTGATATAAGCGCTATCAATCAATCGGAATGATGATGAATATGCACCGTCGATTTTTATACCCATGTAAAAAACACCAGTGTTATCTGTAGCATATCCATTACCCACATACTTAAATGAATTTGCATATGCATTCGCAATTTTCTTTCCTATATAAAATACGTTGAAATTATCCTTAGCATATCCGTTACCAACCAATTGAAATGAATTTGAATATGCACCATCAACTTTTTTATCCATATAAAATACGTTGAAATTATCTTTAGCATATCCATCACCAATCGCTTGAAATGAATTTGAATATGCACCATCAACTTTCTTGCCCATAAAATAAACATTACTATTGATTTGGACATATTGCCAGTATACACTACAGATGGAAACTTGCGATGTCTGACCTGCAAGAGCACTATTACTGGAATATCTTCTTTGTGCATGTCGATCTTCATTACGTTCTTCTTGGCTGTCACTATCGCTCTCCTCCGAATCTATATTCGATCGTTCGGCGAATAGGTTCATTAGTGCTGCTTTTGATGAGTCTCGTTCAACTTTGTTTCTAGCTGTCGTTAGAGAAAGAAATATCATAACGAGGAGAGATACAAGACTGAACTGCATAATTGTTATTTTCGTTGGATTGATATATAGAACAGCGTATGTGAAGCTTTACTTGTAATATACTATATCGTCGTTGCTTTTATTTCTATTCCAAATGAGAACAATCATCCAATGAATAATCTCGGCATAGTATTTCGATTTATCATTAAAAGAAACGAATAAAGTATACATTTCTTGCTACTAGATCAATAGCATAATATTGAAGTGTATACACATTAAAGAACATTGTATAAAAAAAGCAAGAGAACGAATATGTTTATTATTACTTTTTCAATAACAAGGACAGATTAGAGGTGCTCTTTTTCTAGCTGGTGAATAGGACCTGATTTCTATTGAAAACCTTGAATAATAAAATCTTGTTCTATAATATTTAGAGGGTGTGGGTGTGGGTATGAGTGTGGATGATACAAAGAGTAACACACACACCCACACCCTTTAAGTTTAAAAACGAGAAGAAAAGCGTAAAAAGTGCATACTTTAACTCATTACGAACGCGTAAAGGTATATGATGCTGTAAGAACAGATTAGAATTATAAATCATAAAATATTAGTTTGAAACGTATAATGCATTCGTAAGGCGTTAAGATGTGCAGTTTTTTATTGATATTGTCGGCCAGGGTCACTGTTGCGATGGACAGAGGGATATTGTTTTTTTTTGAGAAAATGTCATATGGGGAAAAATAGTCAAATCGACGATCCATTTTGCATTGCTGATGATGTTAGTAGTCGTTCGAAGCTGATATCTGATGATATGCTTGGAATAAGTTTAGATATTAAAAATAATCATTAATAGTCTACAATATCTCCCGAACGAGCCTTCATGTTGTCCTTCAAAGAAAAAACTTTGATTTTATTTCGACGAAATTCTTCACGATGTCTGTGAAATCGCATGAAGATAAATTCGGATACCAGTTCCGCTATTATCATATAACCAATACCAGATCCTTAATTCATTCAAATTGTATTAAACATGATACTTTTTTCAAAGACAGTAAATACCTACCGATAGCAAGAAATAAACTACGTATATCGAATCGTCCACCATGACCTGATATTGTGAGAACAAAACGAAGTCCATACATTTTTGTCGTTGTTCGATAATCTATTTCATTTAAACGATATTTTTCAACAAATCTATCATAAAATTAGAATGTATTAAGAACTATAACAAGATCAATACATATTAATCTACCGAAAATTGACACCAGGCGATAGTTTATCATCACCACTTTGCAATAAATCGAATGTATAAGTTGGAAAACATCCTTGATTTTCTACACTAGAATCGAAATTACATTTCCATGTTTGTTCAATTTGAATTAGGCCTCCCTAAAAAAGAGTTGCAGTACACATGATCTAAGTATCACTAGATATCTTAAGCAATTATATCAGAACAAAATCACTACGCATTATATAAAACATAATTCTATCAAATTTCGGGTAAAGTTCAGAAATATCGACAACATACTGTGTTCAAACCTCAGTGATTATATACTGACCGACATATGTCCTTGTGGCTATTACGCAAAGTACTCGAAAGACACGAAGATTACTCCTTATTTTTAAATGAAAGAAAGCAAATCTTTATTCATTCGTTGAATCAATTGATAAGTTTTAGTTTGTATCGTCAGTTTTCTAATTTTTGTTTGTTCTTACATAACTTAAATTCTATTATTAACAATTATTCGAATTTTCCATTTTAAAATACACTTGAAATTTTGTTCACTCTTTATATTTACTTGATTATACAAAGCTTTTCGATTTATTCTATGATTTTTTTCTCGAAGCTTTTTGATAATATATCCGATTTGAAAGATAGGACAACGTGGATCAGTATCACTGTTGAATCGACATGAAAATTTAGTATCTTGTTTGACTGTTCGTCTGTAAAGATATTTGAAAAAAAATAACTTAGAAACATGTTACTAGACAAAATAATAGTAAAATTACGAACAATTTAATGTTGAATTGCGCGAATGAAACAGCTGTTTTTATAAAAACTGTAATATTGAGTAAATCGTCAATATTGATTGTATAATCGCTTTCAATAGAAAAAAGAAACATCCTGAATTTTGAAAGTATAATAATGAAATCTTACGTAGAATTTGACAGTTCTTCAGGACACCAAGCATTTATTTCACATACATTAATCATCGTATTCTCCTGACTTGGTACACAGTTTCCAGTAAAGTAACCTGAAAAAGAATAAATCAATAATATAATACAATCTATTGATGGATTCGTTCTTTTACATCCGAATAGTTTCACAGTGAGTTAATATTTTTTATAGAGTTACAAAAAAAAAAAGAATTTTGTTTTGCTACATATTAAATCTGAATAACAATGAGAATTTAATGACTTCGCTTCCAAATTACGAGTGTATTTTGCATTGCTATTGACTTAATCATCGATGGAGTTTTGAAGTTATACTATTGAATTTGGTTATGAATACACAAATAAGGAACATTATTATGCGAATTAGTCACGTATTGTAAAGAGACATAAATATACAAAAGAAGAATAAAAAACCTATCTGTTTTATTGTAAAATATTATTTATCAACTCTTTCTCCTCGACTATAATTCTAAAAGCAAAGAATTTGAAATCGATCGATCCAAAATTTTTCAGCAAATTATTTAAAATCTGAATCAGCAAAAACGTCTAACTAACAACACAGATCTAAGGAGGATAATCTTATCAACATTTTTCTCACATACCGAATGCATTAGGCGTTGGCTTGCCTCGTTTACATGGATTATATGTAGAATTGCAGAATAAATTATTGTTCAAACTCTATAATACCAATTAGAATCGTATAATATAAGATATATTTTAAAAGATAATTTACACTCGGACATATTCCTTGTGTTTGACCATATGTTACCGTTTTACGTGTAGCAATAAAAAAGGCGTTGGTTTCCTATATAAAGATTATACACGACATTGATAAATAGATTAGAGAAGGTCACATACAATGGATGGTACAACGTAGTCAGCTGCGTCCCACAATGCTTGAGTTGAATTATCTAAGATTAAAAAAAGAACATAAAAACAACAAGTGTATTTGATCTATCAATTATTGAATAAAATATACCAGTATGAAGATTGGAATTGTGAATCGAAACTTGTGCTGCACCTTTAATTTTTATTATACTAGAACCTTGAGGTTCTTGAAATTCTTGATATCCCTTTTTTATCAAGATAATGTAACTAGAAAAGAAAAGTTTGCTTTTTTTTTTTTTGTTGTCCGAAAGACATCGATTACGTACAAGACAACAAAAATTAGAATTAAAAGTTGAAGAATACGATGAAGTACAGCAACAAAGGTACTGCGTACTGTGACTTCTTTAACAGTAGAATACATAACAAAGAAATCCAATAAGGATGAACGAAGCGAATTGATAATAGTGGGTGCCATCAATCAATATAATTTAATGTACTAAAATGAAAATCTAAAACCAATAATTTGATATACAATCAAACACAAAAACTTCTATCTTTTGAATGTTTCATTTCGTAGTATGATTCCACAGAATGACACGTAGACGATTCTAATATAGTTGTCCTTATGTATATTGTTTTTTTCCCTGTTATTAAATTTTTTAGATAAAATCTTTCAGGAATGCCATAGTTAATATAGATTTTCTCCTTTCTAATTTCTCTGTATGAATTTTATCGATGAAATAAAAAAAAAAGAGCTTAATAAAAACAAAAAGTACTATACAATGATGCGAGCAGAGCTAAACACGATTAGAGTAAGTTACGGTTAAGAATTTTAGTATCTACACTTGATTCGCACACAACTCTTACCCCTGTTACGGTATCGATTCAGAAAATAAAATAACCATAAAATATAATCAGAAAGGGTAGAAGTATATCTGGCACTTCAAAACTTCGCAATTATTTTCTATCACCAGAACTCAAACGTATTATTATATAAATGTCAATAATCGTGCTTGTCTCTGATCTATGACCATGAAGTTTGTATGAATATTGTGTTTCAAGGGCTAGTATTCATCTGGCGAGTTACAGTGTACTAAGTTGAGCAATCAAATGTAGTTGGAAATTGCAGACAATGGTATAGAAGAATAAACAGAGAAAAAACAATATTAATAGCACTTATTGTTAATCGACCAGATGGAAAAAATGACGATCGTTTATTTTTCTTTCTTATTGAAGTCGGAAAAAGTTTCTATCAATTATGAAATGAAAAACCATTTTCATAGCGAATAGAAAGAGATGAAATCTATAGAACAAAAAAAAAACTTTTTAATTTTGCATTTCAATTGATCATTTCGTTAATAAATTAAGTTTGTTGTGTGTTATAAAGTGATTTCTTAGATCAAAGTTCACTCTACAAAGACTTATGCGAAAAGAACTATTCAAAAGGAAAGGAATATAACAAAAGGATCTATTTTTCAGTCACAACTAATGTATAGATATGTCTACGCATGAGTTCACTTTTATTATCTTCTCTTTTTTTTGTTACCTTCTCGTTGTCTATCTTCTGTTTATTGTTTGCCAATAATTATTATGAAGAAAAGAGAGATATTCCTATGCTCTTTATTAAGACAAAAGCTGGCATTAATATTGCTGAGATAATAGCGGAAATAATAAAGAAAAACAATTAGAGATAATTTATTTCTTTTGGAATGGTGTTATATTTGTTGTACCATTTCCTTTTGCAATAGAAAACAGACCGTCTTGTTTATCTTAAACTTTTAGACATAACAAACGATCATAAATACTATAGATTGGTCTAATTATTGTCTTTTCTTTGTTTTCATCCTGTTTTCTAGATCTTTTTCTCTCTCTATTTTTCTTAAGAAAGTTTTCATTCTATATTACTCTTGTATATATGTGCCGTGTGCGTATGGAATCTAGTTACGGTATTATTACGGCAACTATTTTTTCTTTTTGACACAATGAATCTAAACTTTGTGTACTTTTAAAATGATGACGACATGGAAATATTGAATCATTGTTTTTTTATAATTGTACTATCGAATGTTTTCAAGGTTATTTACATGTTATTTTCTCATTTATATGAATTAATCCCATTACAGATCTCTCAAAATGTTTTTTTCTTGGACAAATATAAGTTTTTATGATGATTTAGAGTGTTTTGTAACTATTATCGAGAATTCTTTTTGCGATCTTAAGATCAATTATAATATGGCTTATACGAGTAAAATGCAATGCCGAAAAAAATAAATAAATTCTTTGCTTTTTCTCTTATTAATAAAACGCAAAACAGGAATTATATATTAATCTATCTCAATGAATACATTTAATGACTAAATTCATAAACGATTGTTTAAGATTAACCATAATATAATTGACAAGCAAAAAACGGTATTGAAAAACAAAACTCTTTGCTTTGCTTCATATTGATATACAACAAACAGAAGTTGTATGTTAATATATATTCTTAAATGCATTTAATTTGATATTATTTACACAAGTTAATTTTAACGAAAAATTGTGCATCCTTTATCAAAGCTTTAACGATGGAAAAGTTTTGGGTGGGTGTGGATTAAGGAATAACTACAGCCACACCCTCGATTTTATTCTAATTACGAATCGTCGTTCGTCGAATGAATGGAATATTTTTCGAGATGAAGCATTGCATTGGGCAAATGAGTTTTTTCAACAATATCGTTTACAACTTGATATCATTGGTGATGAAGCACAAAGACAATTTCTTGTTCAGTTTCGTCAACAACGCGAACAAATATTGAAAAAAATTTTAGAACATAGAAAAGAACGATATCAACAATTTTATTCGCCAAATTCTAGTCTTAGGTTAATTAATGCCATGCAACTGATTGAAATATCAGATGAGAAACATTTTCTCGAATTGATTATTAGAGAAGAAATTATACGACCGATTCTAACGAGGGAACCTTTTCAACTGTCCAATCGCTTTTGAGTTCGAACTCA